TTGAATGGAAGAGGCAGACAGAAGTCACAAAGGGTTATCCAAGACAGTTGGTCATAGGTGAGGGAATGACCAGTTACTTTAGGCTTAAGTCTACAAACAAGTTTTAGTGCTGTCACCCTCATCTGAACCCTGCAAAGTTAGCTTGCAGCGTAAAAACTGTGAACAGAGACAGCTCCCAGCCCTTTGTCTGGATGATTTCTGCCCAAAGCAAATGTACTGACACTGGTTTGGAAGGTGCTGCTGTATAGCAGGAAGACCTGAGAAACTCTCCTACCTCCCAAACCACTCAGGAAAGCAGGTATACTTCTGAGGCAGAGGCTGTGGAGTCAGACATGGCCAGGCTCAGGAACCTCTAGTCCTTGCTTGCCTGTTAATTACGGTTGCTGGTGAGAGTGGGCAGGACTGGGATAATGTTTAGTCCCCAGTAAAGAATTAGCATTTTGACACATACAAAGTACTTTCTTAAAATCATGTTACTAAAGCCATTAGCATTATCTGTGCACACAGACCATGAGGAATGCCCTGGTGACATAAAGAAGGGGACTTTTAACCACTTCCATGTAATGCAAAAAACAGTTTGCACCAGCCTTTTCCAGCCTCTGACACTCCTGCCCATTCAAACAAAGTAAATATTGCAAAAACTAACAGCTTTACTAAACTAATTTCCATTTTCATGTGGCTCTTGAAGAACATCAAATTAATTTGATATAGCACATAATTCACATTCTATAATCTATAACGTTCTATAATCTCCATTTGATAACCCAAACTCTTTCAATGATTATCTGCTTTGATTTTTACAGACTTTGTAAAAACCAAAACTGCAGATACAGCATGATATTTTTGGAAGTCTCAAACTCTTGCAGATTTTACAGAATAAACAAAAGTCCAGCCCCAAATAAGAATATCCGCCTATATGAAACAGTCATAGCAGCTGTAAGAATTTTATTGCCATTTGTTTGAAGTTATTCCTTCATATCAGCTGCCAGCCTCACAGTATAAGCCAAGTAAAGAAAACCTGGTATGGGCTTGGGCTGGTATGGGTTTGGGTTGGTATGGGTAATGATACCCACTCATATAGAGGCTGTTGGGAGAGCCATTCTTTGTAAAGAGTGTGTTAAAGAAGAAGAAATGTAAGAGTCATGTTCCTTGCAACTGAGACACCTCAGAGAGACCAGAAGATGTGAAATTAAGAAAAAAAAAAAAAATAAATAAATAAAAAAAAAAAAAGAGGCAAGAACAACTGTAAGAAAAGTCAAGCAATAAATACTACCTGTGCTATAACTGGCTGGGCAAGCTTGCCATCCCGAGGCCATTTCCATTCTCTGACCACCTCTTCATCTTTATTAGTCACCAGACCTCCTTCCTGATTATACATCACTGCTACAGTGTTGCTGTAAACAAGCAGAAATATGGAACCTGTTTTTCCTGGTGTATCTCAGTAAAAACTAAGGAATCCAAGAAGCTCTCTTTGATCTATGAGTATTTAATTAAAAGCCACTTTGCATATCCGCTCCTTCATCGAGCTTTTCTCATGCTACAGGCCTGTGAGGCAGGTATAAATTATTATCCCTGAGATATACACAAAAGAGTCAGGTTAAGTACTTGTTTTAATAATTCAAATTAAAAAGAAACTGGTGTCAAATGGCGTGATTTTAATGCCATTTCCGCTTACTAGTACATTCCTAGGAGTTCTAAAACATTTCAAATTCTATTGTAAATTTAAAGGAAAAAACAAATCAGGTAAAATGGCATGTAGATGTCATTCATGTATGATCTTCAGTTGACAGTTTCAGGAACATTTTTATGTCTCTATCATTAATAAGAATAATATGTATTCTGATGCTTCTTTCTTCTAGCCATAAGCAAATAACACTGGTGACCTGCAGAAAGACATACATTTTGAAACACAGAAAAGTACCTCAAATCATCAGAAGTTTTTTTAAGTGGATTCTGTGTATTGATGGTCTTCCCTGGACACAGGGGATTGGAGAATTTGGGGGTTTACTGTTTAAAGTACTAGGGATAGTCTTGGGTTTACTGTTTTTTCTCACAACTTAACAGTACAGCAACTGAATCTTTATTAAAAGATATGTTTTTTCTTGAGTTTCCACTGGGTTTTCAAAAATAAATACATAAATATTAACAAGGACAAAGCAAGATGCACCAGGAACACTGAGATTTAATGCTTGTACTTTATATTTTCTATGTATTTTTGCTTGCTTCTCCATAATGTAAAGTTGGTCAGTATAGGTAAATTTGCTTGGTTTGATTTTATATCCTAATTGGGAATTGTTTAAAAAGTTTTTTTTTTTTTATATTTTGGACTCTTAGACTTTTTTTTTTTAATAAACAAGGGCCAGATCCTTCCACTAGTTATGAGGGCATTGAACTACTTTTAAAGTCCTCTTATACAAGAGCTGAACAATCATTCTCTGCACAGCTCCAATAAAACATATTCCTCCAATCCCAAGAGCCCATTCAAGATGGTAAGACAATGAACTTGTCTTCTTTAAAAATGAAGGCAGCTGCAAGTTAACATGTCCCTCATTTTTAGCTACTGTTCTCTTCAGAGCATGAAATTTTGATCCCAGATGTCTTGAGTACTCGAAAGTCACAAAAGGAGCATAAAAGAGGAAAACCAAGGAAAAGACTGGGCTATAAGTAGGAATCAATGATAATCTTTGTCCAGATCATGTTAAGATGAAGAGAACATCACAGAGAGATATAAACAGAGAGTAACATTATCCAGAAGAGAACTACTGATGTTCAATTTACATGCTCTGGTGGGCCTGAAACTTTGGAGGAAATCACCTGTGTATATGCTTTCCACAAGTGGGGATCTGCTCTTTACAACTGCATTTGAAATCAACACAGAGGATATTGAGAATACCAGTGTTCATCCTGCAGCTTTTGTTAGATAGGTGTAAGTAGCCAAACAAATCCCTGCAACTGTGTTAACAAGATGCTGTAGCAACAACCTGGGAGATTAAATGAAACCCAGCAAAAGAAATAGAATCAAGAAAATGTAAAACCATGATCAATACTTTTTAAAGGACTCTTCTTGAAACATGCATCTAAGATCTAGTGAAGACAATTATAGTCTTAATTTCCAACCTTATTAAAACCAGACCATACAAAAAGGAGCTGTAAGGGACTTACAGAAGGCAGCCAGACACATTTAAATAGAGGGAGGGACCAAACAACTCTGCAAATATTTGCTGGTGGCCAGACACAAAGATTCTTTACAAATAAAGTTCTTTGATGTGTGGAAATTATTCAACATTTTGTCAGTAGCTCCTATTTCTCCATAAAGTTATGCCTTATGAGGATTGAACAATATGTAGAACAAATAGCATTTGATCAGCTCTTTTTACAACCTGTATAATGCACTGCATCGTGAGGCACTACAAAGTGGAAGCAGTGGAGGGGGAAAAAGCATGTCTGCATTTTGTCTGTGCGGAATATGCATCTGCAGCTCATGTCATGCATTCAAGGCAGCCAAAAGGCCCCTTCCCAATTGCCTGCTGTCTCCTTTCTGTGTGGAAATTTTCTATTAAGCCAAAGTGCATCCTGTCCTCACAGCATTGGTTTCACAAATGAGAAATTCAGTTTTCAAAGTGATTTCTGTCTAGCTTAGCAATTTAGATAACACAGTGCTTTTTAGCTGCTTGAAAAAATTGTGTCATTTGACTCCTAGAGGGGACGGATTCCTGCACCTTCAGATTCCTTCACCTCCAGGTGACCTGCAAACCAGATGGAAGTGGTGTTCATCTTCCCACACATGTAGATGTCAGTCTGCTCCAACGCCCAAGTATCCATGGACTTCCAGGCTGTCTGAACAAAAGTTTGGTCACCAAAGACTGTGCCTGGCTTTATTTTTTTGAGTGAAGAGGGTAGATGAAAAACAATCAATCAGAATAAACCCAACTCATTGTTAGCTACCCAACTAAGATATGACTCTAAGCTGCAGAAAAACCAATTGTGTTGCACAAGATAGCACCTTTCTCATGTCTGTTGTGGTTTTGAACATTGTTCACATCTTTATTTAGATTAGAGCTTCATGCTCTCTGCTCTAATTTGCAGCATCAAACAAGTGCATCTACCTACCTGCTAGGAAGACAGATGCTGCCATGTCCAAAAGGGGTGAAAGTTCCAACTATAGAGTGATCTGGAGAAGGGCTAAATATGTTGGTATAGAAACCCCCACACAGGAGATTGCAGCAGCTCTGGCAAACAGCAAGATACTCAGAAGGATAGATGAAATGAGAATCAAGGAGTTAACTTGTTATAATTCTCCAGTTTCATGGCTTCTATTACATGCCCCTACAGAGAACCCAGGCACTAACACTCTCTATCAGCTCTGTATCCTGGGTATTGGGTCCAGGTGCATACAGATAAGTGAAGCTCCTAACCCAGTCACGTCCTTCCTTGAACAAATGGGTTGGGAAGTATGGAGGATGAGCAGAGCTCTAAGTAAAAAATCTACCTGCCCAACAGAGCTAACATGGCTGGTATAGTCCAAAAGTGACCCTCCTCACAGGAACAACATATGAATCAGATATATGTTAATGAAGCACAATATCTGTGGTGGTTTTCCCTGTGACAGAGCAGACTGTTCCAAATCCAGTTTGATGACTGTAACTGATAAAGTGATCTTTGTTCAAGACAAGGTTATACCCTAAATGGATTGCAGTTTGATGCCATTGACTTTTCATGGCATTTTTCATTCTGGAATATTTCTTTCTGAGGCATGTCCACCCACTTGACACATGCTGGGCTTTGTTATAGTCTGACTACGTGGCTATAGCTCTGGTACCATATAAATACAGTCTGATAAGAAACAAACAAAAGAATGACATCTTGTTCTTTTTCATGTAGTTGAGTCTTGAAAGCTGTTCAGATACACATGAAGTCTGAATCTTCCCCCTGTAGAAGTTCTCCCACTACCCCTCACACTCCTGCTAGAATTCACATGTACTGTGTAAACAGAAAGGATATTAAATGAAAGATGAGCCATCGTTCAGCCCATAGTGCAGTTTTCTCTGTGTTGTGCCTGCTTTCTTGACCACTGGGATCTGAGGTTTGCCATATGTCAGCTCTGGTGTGACCGTCATGCCAGTCTGAACTTTCCATGTCTTGGAGAAAGTTTCTTCTTTATGATCACCATAATGCCGGAGAATAATTGGTTTGTCAAACCCTACATCTTTCAGCTTGGAAGTTTGCTGTTCTCTGTTTACACAAGAGAGGAAAAAATTACACCTCTGATTAGTTCTTGCTCAGCAGAATCCTCAGGCAAGACTTCCATTTAGAATGAAGTTTGACCCCAGCAGAAAACATATCTTGATTTGTGAATTTCACAGCTGAGAAATTATCAAGGTTACTAATTTAGCTATGAATTCAGGCAGCCTCACAAACACCAGCAAGCAGCCCCATCGCCTGTTGAATTTGTTACAGATATTTCAGTGCTTTGTCAGTGGACTCGGCCTACGAGTTGCAGTAGAGTGTGGAGGTTCAGACTTCTTACCGATCAGCATGGCCAGCATGAACGATAGTGACAACTTCTGGTTTAAAGTTTTGGCTATTGTACACTTGGAATTATCTTAGCAAGTCACTAGGTTTATATCTTCAACTACAGTATGGGTAAAATGCACCCAAATGTTTGTTCTTGTCTAATCTCCTCACTCCTACTTAATGCAAAACCTGCTGATCTTCCAATTCCCTCCCCAAGGAGTATCAGCCTGAAGTGGCAGAATTCTGTTTGGTTTCATCAATAACCTTTCATTAGGACCTCTCTACAGCTAATGATATGATTTTGCACTCTTCTAAATCGTTTTTCACAGGAGAATCCTGAGGAGCCTTGTAAATATTGATGATAAATATTAAACACATTACTCTCAGATAGAAAGGAATCAAGTAAATTGCCCAAGATCACATGAGTCACCTGTGGTGAAGCTGGCACTAGAGCTGACTGCACCAACCCTCTACACATGTACATAGCAGAGATCCTTTGACTGTGCAAGGCAGTCAACTTTACCCCTGTTGAAAGTCTGTCTACCTGATTCTTCTTCTTCATCTTTACCATCCTGTATTCCATACACCTATTGTGCTACTCCTCACTGCTATTGCTTACTTCATCTTCTTAAGAAAGGACAACACTTAAGTATTTTAAAATATCTTTATCTAACAGCCAAACTTATATCTATTTCAGTCCTATGACTGATCTTGAGAAAGAAGCAGAGAGAGTTTGAGGCTGGTTAGATTAACCCAAACCTAGGACATTCTGCATGTACTGTTCTACATGTATATATGAGCACATGCATCCATATTTTTATCTACTAGTCTTTAAGCAGTTATAAAAATGTGCAGGTCATCAGAGTAGTATTAGGTAAATGAAGCCATTAAAGGAAAAAAATGAGCACAAAAGCTGGTCAATGTTGAGAAAAGCTGATTATGTAAAACATCAGCTGATAGAAATCAAAGGAATATTTTTGTCTGCAAGCCAATATTTCTTGCTGTTTCAATTTTGCCATAAAATATTTCTCAGTATAAACTTTTTGCTGACCAGGCTAAGAATAAATATTCAAGAACACTAAGCCAACTCTCATGGCACTGACACAGGAATCTGGTGACAGCATCAGGGTATTGTAATACGAGGAGCAGCATTTTACTTCCAACTTGATGGGCCAGCAGGGTCTGCAAATCCTGTAAACATGCTCAGGTCCAGTGAAAGTGAATACTTTGCTTGTAGGGAGACCCTATGACCCTATTTGTGGCATAAATATTGTCAATTAGATGATTAAATTGTATGACTGCAGAGCTTTTGGGAACAGTAACATGGTAGACCCCAGAATAGTTGTACCATAGAAAACCACAGGTATCCTCAGTGTTTGGATGAGTTCTATCCAGTTCTTAATAACTGCAGACTGGGGTGTACCAAAATCCAGCATCCAGAAGGATAAAGAACAGGTACATTTCAGAGCGTAAAACAGGTAATTCTAAGACATGATATGTCTCATGGGTGGGAGGACAACAGCACTCATTTAAATAATAAGAAAATATTATGTTTCCAGTATAAGCCTCAAATATTAAGCTGCTTTGTTGCTTTTCTTTTTCTTGGCTTTGCAAACACATTATACAGCTATTGGAGGGTGACATACAGAGGTTGGTCAAACAATGCAAACCCCAGTTTTTGCTGCAGCATCAATTCTTTTGGACTTTGGACTTGGCTACTCAGCTCCCCAAGGAATAAAGCAGTGATAATAATCTGTCCCACGATGAATAATATGCTAGCATACTATATTTTACAATGTACAATACATCATAGCATATACACTCATACACAGTGAAAACTGCTTGATTTTATACAGCTACTATCTTATAAACCTATTATTATGAATGATGATTTTTCACCTGAGATACAATGCTGATTTTATTAAATCTGAGTATGTTTATAGTTTTGCCAGTTAAACAGCAGGATATGTAACAGCTGAAATTCAGAAACTGTGCTGTAGATACAAAATTATACAGGTTAACTTTAATAACTGCCCTTACAAGTAATCAGTGTTCAAAATTAGTGATCAGCAAAGATTATTTTCATTTAAAAGTATCCTGCTTTATAAATTCCAGTACTTCTTCCTCAGAGAATTGATCAGGGACGGTAAATCTTAACTATTTCTGACAGGAAACTAAATCTTAACTATTTATCCTCCATCCCTTGATACTATTTTAGCACTATAGTTTGGTACTCAGAGAATGGATAATGTATTTGGAAGCTACCATATTTTTTAAACACATAGTCAGTTCTCTATGGGGAGACTCCAGGGTGTTAAGGCTATCTTGTGCTATGTAAAAATAGGAGGCTTAAGTACAAGCATCATGAAGAAGTCTAAAGGCCCGATTCTGGCCACAATATCTTAGGGCAATCTTCTTTCAGGCCCTGGCAAGGCAACAGCAAATTATCAAAATGTGAAATTGTTTTCATGGACTATGGTTTCTTTTGCAAAAGATATTCAAACGGTTTTTCACAATTGTTGGAAAGATTATCTGCAGATTAATCATAATCAGAAAATACCATTTTACCACTAATCCCTGAAAATGTCTCTGTTGAGATAATTCTTATCTTCCATTATAGTAGCTAACATAAAAGTATATGTTTCTCTTTCATGAAGAGTGAAATGTTAAGCAGAACTCTAGAACAATAATGTTCTCCAGACTAGCATGTTGGTTTGGTTAAGTGGTCTTCCATAATCTGTATTCTACATCATGAAAACCTTGTCATTTATTCTAATTTTGCTTATGGAAGTAAAAACCTCAGTTTGTTACATTTGTTTTTGAATTTGTTCTGGCCTCTCCAGTGTCCTCACATAAGGCAGCTTCTGGTGAATATCTTCAGAATTTGAGTCAGAAAGTTGGAAAATCCAACCTACAGAAACAGAATGAGAGATTAGAATTAGATGCATAAGTAAAGACTGATGTTAATGTCAGTCTTGTTTTATGGCATCTGTCAATAGAAAGTAAGGTTCATTCACATGAATACAAAGTGCTGAAGCTTTGGCAATTGCCTTCTTAAACAGATTAAACAGATTCTTTGCCCTAAAAAATGCAGTTGGAGAAAGAAGGAATGTGCATTGCAGGTGCCTTCAATTCAAAACCAGAAAATTGTGTCTAGGAAGAAGACAGGTATACAGAAAAATTGATTATTCATGTAAATTTCAGGTTATACTTTCATATGAACTACCTTAACTTCCCACATCAGTCACAGTCACTGATCTGTGTGCAGCCCAGAATCACTGCTGAAAAAGGATGCAGGTAATGCAGACTCTAATTATTCTCAGCAGCTGTCTGGAGTAGTTGGAAAATTAAGACATGCATCAGTTTGAGCAGCAAGAGCACAGAGTTCTTTTAGTGCGCATTTCTGTAAGACGTCTGTGGTTGCAGCTGCACTATGGCAGGTATATTTTACTTAGTTCACATCTGCAGCATTTGTGGATGATTTCAGAAGACCCGTGGGAGTGTGGAGGAAGAAGTTTCTTAACTTCTGGAGATTCTCACTCTCACTCGATTTTCTAAAAAGGTCAGAACACCCAAGATGAATGGTCAGGGTGTGATCTCTAGTCAGTCTGAACATCTTCTGTTGCAATGGTTACTATCAAGAAAACAGATTACTTGATGTAAAAGTCCAAATGAAGTGATAAAGAATGGCTACAGACACAGACTGTAGAGAATGGGCCTAGCAATTGTTAAAATTAATGCAGAGAAACTCAGTTTCCCTAGATTTACTGTTTCACTGTGAACAAATCAGAAAGCAAGTTAGTCAGAAAAAAGAACTCAGTGGGTTAGAATCACAGTCACAGAAATGCATGACCTGCTGCTGGGTATTCCCTTCATCAAGTGAAAAATAAAGCCGTCACAACAGACCAGGCAAATGGGAGCTCCCAAGAGATAGGAAAGGGCAGGGACAGTTTAGTGGAAGCTGATTGTTTCAACCCCTTTGACATGCATCTGTGATTAAGAAAACTCCAACAGCTGCCTGACTATACAGCGCACTGGCAGACCCACTGGTGGAGTGCTGAAGGGATGCGTGTGTGATCTTGATATCACTGAGACAGAAGAATAAAGAGGCTGCCTGTGAGCACAATCAGTACCCTGGCAAACTTAATAGCTCAGAGACACCAAGAGCATGCAACTCTGCAGCATAGCATTTCAGAAGTGCTGTTGCTCTGTTACAACCAGAAGAAACTGGATGCCACATTTTGAGAAAACAACAGAAGAGGGAGTAATTCCCTTCAGTGCCTATATATTTGTTTACAGAGCTATTATGCTGGGTGCCTCTTTTAACTTTCACCAGCCAAGGAATTTTAGTTCTGCAGTCCTGGTGGCACCTGACCAACTTCATGGCTGGGATTAGGAAGAAAATGAACAAATGCCTTTTTTTTTTTTATATCTCCCCACATGGCAATGTTCTTAAAAAAATCCATAAAGAGGTGCAGAGTAAGCAGTTATTCCCTTCAGATCAAATCTGTCCATGTTTTAGGCAGAACTGGTATAATGCCTTGTGAATAACTTTTCAGTTAGTGCATTAGTGCTCCCATTCAGGGCAACAGTTACTAAGTCAAATATATGTGGTCAGACGGTTTCCAGGAGGGAGAGGCTTAAAATATCTGAAAGCTGTCATTCACCCTGTATTCTGCTAGCAAAGAGTAGTGGACCTGCAGTGGCTGTATAGAAAACCTTGCTGGCAGATGATCAGAGATAATCAGAGAAGGACTGGGTATTTAAAAACAGATTGTATCCAAACTGCGGGAGGGTTGTTACTGCTTGCCAACTATTCCCTTCTCATGCTAAACCACACTTTAGTCAATTCAGGCATTCAGAACAGCTGTCCAGGTACTGCATAATTCTAACCAACTGCTAAACACCAGCCATCCAGCTGAGCTGCCAGCTACTCTTACCTCTTTCCTCACAGATGCTGGATGAGAGCGAGAAGCTGATTGTGATGGATGACTGGTCAGCATCATTTTGCACAACAAGTCCTAAATGGGAAGAAAGTAGAGTGAAATGCTTATGATCATACATGCAAGGGTGAATCAGCTTTCAAAAACATAAAAGCAAAGTTTTTTGTTTTGTTTTGTTTTGTTTTTTAAAGAGGAAGACTGCAGTAGCACCTGGAGAGCTGGAACAGGCTTGACCCCAACCTATGGTTCTGCACGGAGGATTACTGACACTTGATGAATGAAATGCTCTGGATGCAAATTATTTTCACTGGCTCAATGTGTTATGACTCTATCACTCACCTTGAAAGAGGAGACTAAAAATGCTTTGATAAATGGCTTGAAATATTGCCCAGTTTCACCAGCTTTGTTCTTCTAAGTGTTTGTACCTCTTGCTTCAGCTGCAAAGCTATTTCATCATGTCCCAAAACAATGCTTTACAGAGAACTGCAGTATAACAAGCTATAAAGTGGAGCATGTTCGCCTACCCAGAAAACAGAGAGTATAGTCTTAACAGAAAGCGCTTTTTTTCCTTTTGCAGCCAAACATTACAACACAGCACATTTACACAGCACAACCTTACCTTTACTTCCTAGAGGCATGCTTGATGCTGTCTCAGATTTTCTTTTTTCCTTTGTAGTGCAGGCTGGTAGAGCACAGCTTTTCTTGTAACATTCTTTTCTGATGGCAGTGATTTCACACTCTATACATTTGGACCCCAGAACAGCACTCTCAAACTTGTCTGAGGCTTGGCTTCTCCTGGATCTCACACTTTTGTATGATAATGACTTCTGATGCCATGTACAGTAATCAAGCCCCTCAGTGAGTTCTCTCCAGCTACAGGTTAGCACATTCACAGGTCCCTGAGGGAAACCAGTCTTATACCTAGCAAGGAGCTGCAATTTCTCTCCAAGTTCCTGTAACATGTTGGCAGCCACAGACTCATTCAACACATTCAGTGGTGAGTCCTCATCTGCCTGTGGGATCAAAGATGTTTGGGAGATCTTTGGGTTTGAGTCCTCTGTAGTGGTTTTACACAGGGAATGACAAGTTACTTGTTGCAAAACTGGGTGTTTTTCTTTTCTTGTATCATCATTTAAGAAACCATCCTCATGCCTTTCCATACACTCCCCTGTACAGATGGCACCCCTGCCTTCAACTGGGCTGAGGAGAAAAAAAGCTGTATCATTAAGTGAGAGCAATAACAATTAAAGAACACAGAAAAGTGACCTGTTAGCTTTGCTACCTGAAACATATGTGGAAAGGCTGGCAATACTCCCTTTCACAATTGAGACTGAGCCACATTAGCTTCCAAGGAAGACACTCCTATATCAAGCTCAGAAATACCTGGGCAGAGCAGCACGAGGAGATTTAATGCAGTCATTGCCAAACCAGGGAGTTTCTGCACTGACAGTGTATGCTTTGGACCATGCCTGCTGAAGTGCAAGGTAATATAATGTAACATGCTGATTGATTTCTTCTCTCCTATGGAAAATTATTTTCTCTTGAGTAAAATGGTAATCAAATACATCCAAAACTTTGCTTTCTTAGATGTAACTTTTAGATATACCAAAACTTTGAGTGTCTAAAAAAGTCTTCTCCAGCAGCTGCTGATTCTATATCCCTTATTTTGTGTTCGGCTTTCTTTTTTTTTTTCCCCAGCCTGTGAACTCTGATCTTCCATGGTCATGAGAGGACCATCTTTATTTTAAACTGTAACAGTTTAATTAGAGGATTGCCAACAAGTTTTAGGAGCTTTAAAATCTAAAATACAAAGAAAGTTTACTGAAAATGCCTTAGTCCTCAAGCCTCTAAAGACACACAAGCTTAGCTGTAACAACACAGTTACACTGAAACCCCCTCCAGTTTCAATGGTAGCTTCTTACACTCTTTTAGTTGAGTGCATGCAAATGTGTTCATAGACTGAAACAACCTGGAGTTAATTTCAGAAATTCAAAAGTAAGTCAGGCAAAACAAGGTTTGTCCTTGGAACAAAATTATACGTTTAAAGCAAATGTGATAAAACATGAATTTAAAACCCAATTATCTGGAGGAGTCACACCCCAGAGAATGCCGTGAACACTTAGTACATTAGTCAGCAGGCATGAACTTCATGAAATCCACAGAGATCTGCATCTAGCAATGTGCTGCTGTTCAGTCCATGTCAAAACAGTAGGACAAGGCTATTATGTGGCACACTTTAGCTAACTGCTCAAGGTTTGTATGTTAAACATATTAAACCCATGAAATTCTGACAGCAGAAAGGAACACTAGGTACTACACTTGGAAGAGTTAGAGTTGGGCATAGGCCTCTGTCACTTTCCCACTTGTGTCCCTCTGTTCACACTGTGTGGCAGGGTGCCAGTTCTGGTCATGTGCCTTCCACATCTCTCCCGTTCTGCCTTGGCCACTCAGGACTCCTTTTTGTGTCTTCCCTGAAAAATTAGTTGACAGAAACCTCCCTGTTCCCACCAGCGCTGGTGTCACACTATTACCTGGGAGTAAAGCCAGGGGAAAGATCTGTAGTGAAATATGAGGACAGTTCTTCTGATACCATCTTGCCCCTCTCTTTCATTCTCGTTTTCATCTACAACAAAATGAATGTTTCAAATTAAAGACTGGAGGAGGTGTGAAGGGGAAGAGGGATGTAGAAGAATATCCTAGATGTAAAAGAAAATACCTGATCAAAGAAATATACAGGTCCTGCTTCCAGCGCTGCAGCTGTAAACATTGGTTCCATTACTCCCTAGAAAGAAGAGGGGGTGGAGCAGCCCAGAGGAAAATTGTTATGTCAGCAGGCTGTGAGAAAAAAACTGTTCATGTTTTTTACACAAACAGTGAAGCTGAGGAATTATTTTCTGTGTGAGGCCTTGAAAATCTGCTTCAAATAATACAGGAACCACCAGTGTATGAATGGGAATACATTAATGTGTCAAGTGGATTAAATTACATGAAGTTGATTACAGAACTGAAGATCAAAATATCAGCTTTTAATAATTTACATTCATATGACTGTGGTGTTTTCATGAGATATGACTTACAATTATTTCTGAGAATAGTCCTCAGTTTGTTATGTGAAAAAGATGATTTCTTGCATCTGCAGTTATGACTTAGTGAGTATGTCAATAAATATGCTTTTATTTTAAAAAGGGATTCTATGACTCTATCATAAATATAAAAAATGTATTTGAAAGATACCAGTGTGGGGACCCTTGACTCTGTGCAGCCTTTCATAACCTACCAAGACTGCACACAGGTACAGAGATCTGCTGTTGGGGAGGCGCTCACTGTAGCATATCCTAACACACGTATCTGTACACATGCCTAATGCAATAGCTCCTTAGCACAGTAATATAAGGAGTCTTTCTGAAGCACTGGTCCAGATAATGGATTGTTTTGTTCATTTGAATCTTGTCACTTAAAAGCAATTTTAAAAATGAGCTCCAGAGGAGGCAATAAACTGACTTATTTTTATATTCACAGCATGTGTCTATTCATGCAAACTGAAAAGTGTTTGCTTTGTCCCAGTCTGAGTGCATAAGCAGCGGTTTGTGCTTCTCAAGGTGACTTTCAGCAGTAAAACAGATTAAATTTCTTCTTAGAAGCACTCTTTGCATCCTTTAAAAACCTGTCCTCCAAAGGATGTTGATGTACTGACACTAGTTTATGCAAGCCAGGATGTCTGGATTACGGCTGACAGGCCATAATCAAACTGGTGTTTGATAAAAAGAAAAAGAAATCACCGAGGAATGTGGAAAGAAGTCCGCAGTGAACAGTGTTAAATGTGAATTCTTTGGCTGCTTTTGTTACTTTTAACTCTGATTTAGCTACTTCACCTAAGTTTTAGGTAACATCTTAGAGAAGCAGTGGTTTCAGAGTTAAGGAAGCCTTTTATCTTGTCCATGCTAAGGAAGACACTATTAGGTGACAGCTCTCATTCCCATAGTGAGTGCTATGGGTGATGATGGCTGAGAAAGTACAAGTGCTCCCGGTCCTCAGCAATTGGTGAGGAGGAATACCTTTCCTTCTAGAGTTTGTAAGACATATTTGCTCTCATGCAAGAAATATTTTCTTTGTTTACATCCAGCCTTTAGACCTGATATTAAACCTCTAGTCATAAAAATTGTCCCACTGACTTTGGTGAATTTTTAGAGCTGAGTAAGGACTGAGTTTTAGCCTTAAACTAGGAAAAAGAGTATTAAAGTGTCATAAACACATAAATAATGGCATCAGTCCCAGAAATAGAAACAAATATAACATCCCTCTGTTCAATTCTTCTTGGGACTGACATAGGCCATTTACTCCCTAGTCGTCCCTCCTCCCCTTCATTCCAGGATTAATCCACAGCTGTCAGAGACAGCTCCCCCACTCCATTCCATGCCATTTCTTGACACTTACACACAGCTTGAAAAGAAGACACAAAATAAAACACAGCATACCCTGAAAGAAGACTTTTCCTGAAGACTGTAACTTCTTTTGCTAGCAAAATAGTGCAAAGGGAGCTGCCTCCTTGGAAGAAAAAGAAGAGGTGAGTCTCTGTGCTGTCTTTAAGGAAAGTGTTTCAAGTCCTGCTGCTTAGTTACCACATGTTTTGGACTGCATTCAGCCCTTCCCTTAACTCCCCAGCCACTGCCTGCCTTTGTCTGGGATACTGGTTCAGAAAAAGGAATAGTCACTGTGAGAAAACAAAAAACCCCAGTATCTTCCTCCACCTAAAAATGGTATTCACATGTCTCTTCTGGCCTACAGCCTGCCTGTCTTCTTATTATGCTTCCAAGTATAGCATGAAGTTGGAAAATGTAGCATTCATTAATATAGTGTGTATTAAATGCTACGAACAGCGGAATGGCAATAACAGAAGGACAAAAAAAATCTGAGCTGGTAAGGGCATGCTACAAGATATAGCTCCTTCTGTCTGCTTCTAAGAGACTAAGTCCTCTTAAAAGCAGCCAGGTGGGGAACATGGAGTCCAGCTGTCAGTCTGTTCACATTAATGTTCTCTTTGTTAATGCAGTCAGTCCAGCTTCTTACTCCCACTTTGCAATTTTTTCATTCAGCATTCCTATCTTTGCACATTGGTTATCATGCTATTATCCTGTATTATCTCTTACACAGAGTATAGTGCTAATTCTGGAGCTGGAAGCAGTGTAACCTGGAAGGTGCTTAACTTTGCTCCTTCCAGCATGCCCTCTTCTCTGCAAGCCTCATGACCACGGCTTATGGAGTGCTCCTGGGCCCAGGAACAGCACTTAAGTGCAGCATCACCACAAACTGTTGGGACACATCGTTAATCCTGCCTCTTCTAGCACTGCCCATTTTCTTTCACTCTGCTAGGTCTTATTCATATCCACTGTTAAGTAAAGTGCGACTCCACTCTACAATTTATTTTCAGCCTACTTTTTTTAAGGAAAGGAGATTTATGCAAATGTCCAGTTTCAGGCAGATTTGGTAGAATAACATACCCAAAGATAATGACCCTTGGACACACTTTGTGAAAATCAGCAGCTAGGTAACAACAGGGGCCCAAGGAAGTGTCCCCACCAAAGAGGCAGGCTAAACTCTGCTGGACTGTGTGGCACAAATCAGCTGGCCAACTCCACATGTAGTACTAAAGCACAAGCCACCTCTGTCGTCATTGCGATTCACAATGCCTCAGTGATTATGAATGGTGCTGGAGTCATTCTGGGGAGGAAAAAAACCAACCCTCTGAGAAAATTGGCTTCATGAACTCAGCTGATCACATAAATATATGTTCTACATGTTGTCCCTTTTGCTCTGATGCCCTTACTTCCGGATCTCACGTCTGCAGCTGCTGCACAAGATCTACTCTTATGTGCCTTACTTTTCCTTTATCTATCTCTGGTCAGCATCTCTTCTTCTGTATTCCCTGGCCTTCTGTAGACTTGATGGCCTCCTTCGTCCGTGACTTCAGTTCTAGAATCAACAAAATCCATGGTCTGGCAACTTGTCTGTTTTGGCACATATCAGAGCAAATGGAGCACAAGCTAGTAACTCTCGTTTTCAAGCGGTTACAGGCACCAAAGGGGATATAGTGAAGGGTAAGAACAGTCTGGTACATGAGAGACTAGTGGATTAAAATCAAACACAAAAGTAGAAACACTGTTCTCAAGACCATTACAGTGCCCAGCTACAATAAATGTATAATAGGAAGATCTAGAATGATTCAAAATGGAGAATTCAGTGAATACAACCCCTGATGTTTCCCCATCCCTTGTCACCAACCACAAAAATCCATCTCTGTAGGTTCCTCTTCTACCTAATTAGAAAACTAGAATGGAAAGCAATAAACAAAAAGTGTTCTAGTCAACATTAATGCACATGCTTTTGTGTTATCCATTCTCAGTATGAGAAAGCTATTCCTCCGTGGCTCTCTTCATCAGCGTCCAACAGCATCAATTCTGATGGGAGTAGGGGCAACAAAACAGTGGAAAACAGCAGCAAGCATTAAATGGCTCACTTGCTCTATCATGCAAGGTTTATTCTGCTTCAACCATAGTAACAGGACTCTCGTGGAGGTGGTCCAGCTGTACTAAAACCAGCATATAATAATGTGGGTTAAAAGTGGTACCACAGCAGTTCCCAACTGGTGAGGCATGTCTCACTGCTCTGAACGTACCTCGAGCCCAGGGAGTCAGCTCCCCTGCACCCATCCCGGTCCCATGCAAGGCCCAGCTGGATGTTGCCATGTTTGAGTGCTCTTACAAGCAAACGCACTGGAGAACATGCTGCTGTGACACCTGTGCAGCTCAGGATTGTGTTCGTTTGGTTGGTACTAGAGCATTAGCTTAGTCTTTTGAAGTCCTGTGCTGGCTGAGAACTGTAGCAGGGCGGGAGTGAGGCGGTGCCCATGTGTGTGAGCCAGGGGGGGAAATGGAAGGGAGCAGCCGGCTTCAGTGAGGCCAAGGGGGCAGAACTTGCACCTCAGTGAGGTGCAAGGCATTACCAGTTTTCCCAAGCAAAGACCTGGCTGCAGAAGCATTTTAAAACACAGCTATGCAGCATAAGGTCCATTTATAACCCTTATATGTTATAAATTATCATGATACTATATTATACTATATACTATAACTACATCTCAGGCAAGAGTTGTTAAAATATACCAGTAAAGAATTTAAAAAAAAAAAAAAAAGTAGCCAGAATGGTTGTATTAGTAGAAAGCCTGTGAAAAGTATAAACTCAGTACAGGAATTTCAACAATTAGGCTGAATTAATGAATCATCAGTGGATGCTGGTAACTGGTATTTCTGTTTTCTAGGTAGTTGTGGAAATAGGACACAGCAGTGCTCTCTACCATGTATTAGTATGCTCCCTTTTTTGCTCCATGTGACTTGGAACAAGTTATTTTTTCTTATATTATTTTCCTTCTGTACAAGTTATTTCTCATGTGACTTTGTTCAGTGTTCTCAAGGTGTATAATCTTAACAATTTTAAATGCTGTAAAACATTTAACGGCAGCTGTACCTACTGGGAAAGGACTGCTTTGTTCTGGCAACATTTTCCATTTTTTATTCTATTTCCCTAAGCAGATAGCTGCTGATGAAGACTGAGTAAGTCTCTGCTGCTGACCCTCAGCCTGCATTTCTGAACCCTTCCTTCGCAGTGGCTACTGGCTTGTCACCTTACTCCACCAACTCTCTCCAAACTGAAACTCAGTTGTGCGAAAGTGTTTTGTGTCACCCCAACAGTTTGGACTCCCCCAATTCCAGCCGGCTGGAAAACGCAGGAGACCAAGAAAGGGTCTTTCAAACTCCAGGGCACACTATCCCCCGCTCCACCCCTCGGGAAAAAAAAAAAAAAAAAAAACCAAAACAACTCCACACAGGTAAAACATCGTCTGGTCAGAGCTCAGCGCGTCAGTGGGGACTACAAATAGGAAGCACGAGGTGACCTGGCATAGGACAGAAGCTGACGGCAACGACAGCGCCGGCACCCAGCGGTGCCCCCCGCCGCAGGCTGACGGCCCGGGGTCAGGCCGAGGGGGACGGCGGTGCCGCGCTGGCGGCCGGAGGTGGCTGCGGAGCCCCCGCAGCCCGGCGCAGCCATGGCGCGCCCCCTCCCCTCGCGGCCGCCCGCAACGGCCACGCCGCGCGTGCGCGTCTGAGGGGCGGTGCGCGGGGAGGCCTCTTCCTCCTCCCCGCCCCGGGGGAGTCCTCCAGCCTTCCCGGCGTGCCCCGCGCTCACCATAGAGCGGAGGGCCGGCCCTGCTGCGCTCGCTCGCTCCGTGCGCGGGGAGGCGGCGCGGCCGCGGCGACATGGCGGGCGTGGGGCAGGCGAGCAGCGCGGCGGCCGAGGCGGAGAAGCACCTCAACGGCGAGCTGCCGCCAGAGCCCGAGGACAAGGACGGCGCAGAGGGCGGCACGGCGGGGCTGGGCGCGGAGGATGGTGCCAAGAAGAAGCGCAAGAAGAAGAAGAAGGGCAAAGCGGGCCCCGCGGGTAGGGACCGGGCCGGGCCGCGCCGCGCCGGGACCCTCCGCTGACAGGCCGGCGGCGCCGCCGCGACCTGGCAGGCCGGGCCTCGTACGCGGTAGCGGGCAGCTGTGGGTGGCTAAAGGGTCCCGCCGTACGGGGCGCGGGTGGAGCGAGGGGTGCCGGGTGGGGTGATGGGCGCCGGCGAGGCCGCTGTCCCGGACCGTGGCGGTTGTGTGGGCTGAGGGGGGGGATCCCCTCGGCGTGGAGGGGGTTGGCAGGTGCCGGGGGGATGATGCTGCCGTTGAGCGCCGGGCAAGCCGGGGCGAGGGAAGTCCTCTCTGCTCCGGTGCGCGCAGGAGAAGCCACCCCTTCCCTCATCCTCTCCTCTGCCCCGAGGGGGGAAAGTCGTAAGGCTGCTGCTGTAAAAGTCATCCCGCGTGATGGAGTCGGTACCCCTCCCAGGTTCTCCGAGAGAGCTGGAGCAAGTCTGGGCAAATAGTGTCAAGAACTACAGTTTGAGTTTGTTTTTAGCAGGCTAGCACTTAGTGATGATCACGCTGTGCGTTTGTAATTATCTACTTCACGCCCGTTTTATCTCACAAGAGCAGGCTGCTGCTGTGGCAAGAAGAATTAGTTACTCTGGCCAAAAAAAAAAGTAATCAGAAGTGTGGATAATGCTACCTTTATACACAAGTTTCAGTAACAGTACCTGTCACTGTAGTGCTGTACAATCTTACACATTGGGTCTGCTTTGGAAAAGACGAGAGCACATGATGCTTTTTATCAGTAGGAGAAGTATAGCGTAATATTTTTACAAAATTTTGGGGGCTATTGTCTACTGTTGTGGACCTGTCCTTTTACTGTAAGTCATACTCTAATTTTACAAACAGGACAAGAAACAGATAAAGAAGGAGACGGTGCTCTTGATGATGTAGCAAAACAGTTGGATAAGCAAGCACTGGAGGAGAAAGAAAAAGATGATGATGATGAAGGCAAGTGTAACTTATCTTTTCTCTTGACATTTCCAGTTTCAACTTCTTTCTAGACTCATTTTAAGGAAACCTTTTACAGATGCCTTTTGGGTTTGGTTGTTGTTTTTTTTT